CGTGGGTGGACTTTTTTCGCGGCGATTTTGGCGGCCGCCCAAGCAGCTGCCTGCCAGCACCAGCTGAGCGCGGCGGCAGACAACATTCTCGGCGGCGCTGCTCGCTTGGGAAGAGCCTGCCGCGTAGCCCGCGCCCGTAAAGGTCGAACGGGTGCGGGTGCGTGGCAATGCAGGGTGATTGTAATGCAGGTGCGCGACTCGCAGTGCTGGGGCTCGGCCGTGTGCAGGGTTCGGGAAGAGGGACCGAGGCAGGCCGACGCAGCTGGCAGGGGCCGAGCGGTGGAGGCAAGGCCCGAGCCGGAGAGGTGCGCCGGCGTCCTCCCTGGCAGCACGCCGCCCCCTCCGTCCCATGAGCCCTGTCTCCCCAAACGCGAACACAGCACTGACGTCATCCACACCCGCCCTGCAGCCGGCGGCTCCCGCCACCTCCCGGCGGCGCGGCGTCCGCAGCGAGCCAGGGGCGGGGCGTCACACCCCGGTCCCGACCCTCCCCCTCCCCGCGGCAGCTGAGGGCAGACCGGGCGGCGTACCCGGCGACCCCGCCGTTCGCGTGACCACGCCGGAACGTGCGCCGGACGCCGGCGCTGCGGCGCCCGCCTGCGCACGTTTCACGGACACCAGCGGCAGGGAACGGTGGGGTCGGGGGGCTTGTGGAGTTAGCAGGGGACGGGGCGGGTCGAAATGACAGGAGATTAAGGCGTATTGAAATGGGAGGGGACTAGGGGCGTGTCGAGCCGGCAGGGGACGGGGCGGGTCGAAATGACAGGAGATTAAGGCGTATTGAAATGGGAGGGGACTAGGGGCGTGTCGAGCCGGCAGGGGACGGGGCGGGTCGAAATGACAGGAGATTAAGGCGTATTGAAATGGGAGGGGACTAGGGGCGTGTCGAGCCGGGGGGACGGGGCGGGTCGAAATGACAGGAGGTTAAGGCGTATTGAGATGGGAGGGGACTAGGGGCGTGTCGAGCCGGCAGGGGACGGGGCGGGTCGAAATGACAGGAGGTTAAGGCGTATTGAGATGGGAGGGGACTAGGGGCGTGTCGAGCCGGCAGGGGACGGGGCGGGTAGAAATGACAGGAGGTTAAGGCGTATTGAGATGGGAGGGGACTAGCGGCGTGTCGAGCCGGCAGGGGACGGGCCGTGTCGAAATGGCAGGGACGAGGGGCGTATCGAGAGGACAGAAGATTAGAGGCTTGTCGAGTCTGCAAGAGGTTCTCTGGTGTAAGCGTTCGGAACTTCGAACGCTGATTAGAGCTGTCCTAGTCCTCCATCGCGGTGCTCTGATGGACGCATGCTGTTGGCGAGTGCTACTCTGACAGGCATTGCACGTGCTTCTGGTCTCGAAGTCAGCCATTTTGAAGACCGGGTTGGTACCAGGGTGTACGAGGCTGCGCATGCTATATTCATAGTCAAACACCAATTAAAAATTATACGCCGATTTCAAGTTAAAGCCAAACATGCGAGCGTGCATGCTTAATCTGCTGTATATACAAAGCACATACTGCTCTGTAAAGCTGATTTGTAAACAGACCCCGGAAGCACCATTATTTCTGGGAAACCGCATCGAACAGCGTTAACACGCTCGACGTTCAACACAAACGGGCGCCCGGAAACCGCTGAGTTCCGCCCCAGTCGATAACGTCACAGTCCCCCCACACACCATCACATAACCGCCTGGACCGACGACAGAGTGGATCAGAGCATCACCCGGAGTGGATCGCAACGGGGTGCATTTGTACAGCGCGCCTCATTCGTGCATGCTGGTCGGGTCATGTTACGCCTAATAACCCGTTGATTCGCGCCAAGATCTGGTTATTTATACCGCGCCAACAGGTGCAGTCTGCGATGAACACGTGGTGTTTCGTGATCTTCTTTCGGACACAACTGGATGAGAACACCCCCCCCCCCCCCCCCACATTAGCGTTCCCGCGAATATCATGACGGGGTATTTAGCCATAAAAGGTGAGTACCGATCTCATGTAGTAGTGGAGTCGTATACAGTCATATATGGAGTCATGAAGTCATAGAGCCAATACGGACAGCGGCAGTCATGGCGACGCAAAGTCGCTCTGTACACTTTGTGGAGGATGAGGGTGAGGTGTCGGGGCTCGGCTACAAATGCAGCTATCAACGTCCATCACCGCAGCGCATATTAGGAGCCATCACGCTTCAGGCTCGAAGCCGCAAAATCTGGCCTGCACTGCATCGCAGAGGCACATCCCTCCTCCTCCGAGATTAGCACCAGCCTCGGCAGCACCAGCCGGAAGCATCGACCCCGTGTTCCAGCAGGCGCGCTCGCCGGCCTCTTCCAGCAGCAGCCGTCGGCGGACAATCAATGATGAGCGCCGCCGTCTGGTGGAGCGGCGGCGGAGGTTGGACGTCTGGCGCAGGTTGGACGTCCCGGCGGCGCGCGAGGCGGCAGCGAGGCGGCAGCGAGGCGCGCCGTCTCGAGTGGCCACGGCGACGAGTCGCGCGCTCAAAGGACGGCGTGTCTGCCGGGGTGAAGGTAATCGGTCGGCGGGTTTTTCGTGTGTGTGTGTGTGTGTGTTGTGTGTGTGTGTGGTGTGGTGTGTGTGTGTGTGTGTGCGTGCGTGCGTGCGTTGCGGCGTGGTGCGTGTGTGCGTGGTGCGTTGCGTGTGTATGTTGTGGCGTGCGTGCCTTGCGTGGCGTGGTGGCGCGTGCAGTGCGTGAGTGCGTGTGTGTGCGCGCGCGCGCGCGCGCGCGCATGTGTGTGTGGTGTTGTGTTTGTGTGTGTGTGTGTGTGTGTGTGTGTGTGTGTGTGTGTGGGTGTATGTGTTGTGCGTGCGTGCGTGCGTGCGTGCGTGCGTGGTGCGTGCGTTATGTGTGTTGTGTGTGCGTGTGGTGTGTTGTGTGTGTGTGTGTTGTGTGTGTGTGTGTGTGTGTGTGGTGTGTTGTGCTGTGTGTGTGTGTGTGTGTGGTGTGTGTGTCACCGGGGCTTTAAGACGCACTCAGCTGCTGGGGCTATATGGCGACGCCTGCCTTTCACCCTGGCAGGAGGGGCGCGCACCGCGGGGAATCGAACCCCGTACCTCTGGTTTCCCAGACGCGCAGTGGTTAACGCGTCTGCGTTAACCACTGCAGCACACTACACTACCGCCCCCCCCCCCCCCCGTTGGGTTTTTCGATTCGGGTTTAGACGCCGTATGTGTGTTTGTGCGTGGGGAGATGCCTGCCTTGGGCGCAAAATGCCCCCGATGCCGACGCGCCCTTAAACACCAAATCACCACCACCTCCACCAAGGATACCTGCCTGGTTTCATACATGACGCATAAGTGCATTGAGTGCAAGGTTGGTCTCATCCGTGCGGGTCAGCTGTCATTCTAGATGCAACATCCGAAAGGTATGCAGTGTTGGCTGCATCTGTGCCACGACCCTAAGGAGAATCCACCAGCAAGTACAGTACCGAAATAGAGTGCATGACACACGGGGTTAATGCGGCCTCCAAGGCCGGAGCGTCAATCCACGGACTGAATCCGGCAGCAGATCAACAAAGGACGCTATTTATGCTTTTTATAACGGTAATGACGTTAGCTGAATGTTTTTAGATAGGCAGAAGATTAGCAATGGCCTCCTTGCAGCTACAGGTCAGCTGTGCGTGTTGTCTAAAAAAGACCACTCGATCTTCAGAGCGTCTCCAATAGTGCACAACGGCTGTGGAAGGCAGCAACGGCGCATGCCTACTGCGTGGGCTGAGCGAAAAATCAAAGAAAATCAAAGCAAGTTTCTCGAGGGACACTCTTTTAAACGACCAGGGCGACCATCAACTTCATAACCCAGTCTGTACCCCGTGGCCTCCAGTACTCCCTCCTCCCGAAAGCCCTTCTGGTTCTGAAAAAAACGTCTTGAGCTCAGTTGTACCGCCCTAGCAGCCGCAAACCCTGGGGCAGCCACCTCCAGAAGAGCTTCTGTTCAGGGTCTTCGTTACGTTCGGTACAGCCTTCGTAGCTTATGGCGCCATTGATCTACAATGGCCCTCGTACCAACTATCCGTGGCCCCGCGCACCACCCCGTCCCCACAAGCCCCCTGTCGGCGGGTGCGTACCTGTGATACGTACCGTCCCATCGCCACATATCCCGGATACCTCTGACCTCCCGCATCGCCCTCCCCTGCTGGCCCCGGTCACGCGTGACCCCCAGCGCGCCCTCCGCCGTGACCGCTCGCGGCCTGCCGTCCCCTCCCCTGACCGCCCCTGCCCCGGGGCGCGGGTGGGGGCCGGTGTTTCCCCGTCGCCGGAGTCATTACTGGCGCGACCGAGCTAAACCTGGCATCGACCGGCGCCTCGGGCGGCGCGGCGGACCGTCGGCTGGCGTGCCGCCGTGGCGTCGATAGGCCATCGACAACGACGAGCCGGCGGAGGCAGATGGCCCGCCGGGGCCGATGCGCACCGCGCGCTGAGGGGGGGGGGGGTGGTCCAGCTCCGATTGCCCGTGAATGGTATAGGATTTGGCTGTGATGTATTGCCTGCCTGTGGTTTTTGCGGCTCGCTGTCCTCTTATAGGGCAGCGTGTGCTGTCAATAGCGTTAAGAGCCTTAAGCGTCGGCGCGGCGGTGGTGAAAACGATTTAACAGCTCGTCGTAGGCAGTGACATAGCCAGAGCGTGGGGGAGTGGGCCGGGTCATGACCCCACCCCTGAGCCAGGAGGTTTACACGAGTACATCCTGGGCAATATCGCAGGAATTCAGTCCAAACCCGCAGGAGTTCGGAGAAATTTGCATTTTCTTCTGCTTAAGGAAAATTCTGGTAACGTGACAGGTCGTAACTTCACTCTCGCGATCAATGTCGAGCTTAACTAGGGCCATACGCTTAACTACACGTAACTATGCGATGAGAATTACGGTGTGATGTTCAAACGCGAGTTTGACATTCAGTTATTAATGACGTGCGCAGAGCATGTACCGAGCCTGACGCCATGCTTAATGAAGTATCATCTGATCCAATATCCATGCAGCCGGATCTTGCTTCCACCCCCATACGCTGGTCCCGAGCGGCCGTGTATTCCAGACGGCAGACGGGCTGGCTCCGGGCCACAACGCTGCTCCAGTGGGGCGGCCACGCCAAGTGATAGAGTCACGACGTGTAAACGTTACAATTCGACGTAAATTACGGTCAAAATAAAGCTTCGTGACCGCATACAAAGCTACGCGATCAAAATCTGCGTCCGCCGGGTTCTTGCTCTTTTCAGGCGCGGCCGACATTCGAGGTAAACAAACGGAACTCATCTGAATGGCTGGCCAGCAACACACACCGGCAAGGTCACGGCGACGGAACGCGTTGCTTCTTAGCCCACCACAATCCGACTCATGCAAACAACACGATCATGCCCCTCAACCACGACTACGCCGCGAAACGGACGAGTCCGGTCGCAGCGCGCGCCATCTAGCCACGGACGGCTGAATCTCAGTCTCATCTCACGGCAAAAGATGGCACTGGCATTTTGATGCTGTCCTTCGCTTCGAAGAACGTGTAGCTGAGTGTGATCTCATTCACGTTTTCCATGTGCGGATCCTCATCGAACTCAGGGTCGATGTAAAAGAAAACTGGCATGTCCACCTGAAATGGATGTAACATGTCATTGCCGTGACGTGACGGTTTGTCGGTTTGGCCACTTCAAGCGCGCATACTCTTTGAATACGCCCGATGACAAAAGTATTTTGGCGTGCAAGCCCGTATAAAACGCACTTGAGTTACGGAGAAAGAAAATGGAGTTCAACCCTAGCCACCAAATTCTGCCGATAACCTGGGAATTTCACTGGATCGCATGGCATGAGTCAAGGCTTACACAACAAGCCCTGGTTAGGTGAGCTCTGATACCAGACACACATCCACTCAAAAAGTTCGGACTAGATCTTCTTTAAAAATCATAACCCGCCCCTTCCCCACCTGCTCCTTGGCGTTAAGCCGCTGCTCCTCGAAACAGAAGCACTGGATCTTGTTAAAGTAGGCGCCGGCCTCGAACGGCACGACGTTGTAGGTGGCGATGCCGTCAATGGGCCGGTCCGTGGGGTTGGTGGCCGTGTAGAAGGCCAGCGCCGTTTCCCCCGGCTGGACCTGCGAACAACGGAGGAATCAGGACAGGATCGTGGCGACTGGACCTGCCGACACAACGGAGAATCAGACAAGACCGTGGTGTCTGAACCTGCGACAACGGAGAATCAGACAAGACCGTGACGGCTGGACCTCCGACGACGAGGGAGCATCAGACAAGACCGTGGCGGCTGGACCTCTGACAACGATGGATCAGACTGGTCGTGTCAGATCGTGTCAGATCGTGTCAGATCGTGTCAGATCAGATCGTGTCGGCTGGCCAGTGCAGTACACGGGGCCTGGTTTGGGTCGTGACACAGGCCAAAACACTGCAACGAGGAGGAGGGGTGTAATAAAAATACTGTCACAGGTTTTCATCCGTACAAAGGCTGCACGAAAGCCGTTGTACGGATGAGAACCTTTGGTTGGAAGAGTGCAGAGGTCGGGAGAGATTGTGATGCGGCTGGGTGCGTTCCAAAGAGATCGGCGTACACCGTCGTTCAAGTGAGAGCATTGCACGGAGATCCGCAGAAATTGTGGTTCAGGTGAGTGACCTCAACGGAGATCGGCAGAGATGGTCACTCAAAGAAGAAAGGCGCGGGGAGTTTGGGAGATTCCAATACGGATGAGTGGAGCGGCACACGCAGATTGCCAGAGAACGCCGTGCACATGAGATCACTGCACGATGATGGGCAGAGAGGCACCAGATCACCATACTACGCAGAACTCATCATCCAAGTTGTTAGGTGCATTTACGAGGAAGATTATTCATAAAATAAGACAGTAGTAAGAGCCTTATTCCCTGGAGAAGAAAAAAACAGGACAATGGAGATAAAGACGCAATGATATTTCGGCACCATACCTTCTTCATAGATGCCAGCAGAAGAACTTTTGCTACTGTTTCGATAAAGGCATATTACCGAATTTCTACACGTCTATATCGCCATTCTCCTAGCTTTTATCCGAGAAATTAGGCTATTAGTACTGTCTTGTCTATGTAAACTCATCACCCGTCCGAATCTGACCCGAAGCGAATCGCAGCCTGAGGGCATGCCCGATACCGCGACGGGCGTAACTGCGCAAAAACGGCGGCAATTGCTCCCAGAGACCGCTGACTGCGTCACGGAAGACACCGCTGGAAGCTTGGGTCATGGGAGACGTTACGAATGGCGGGGAAGCACTGTCTGGTTATGGGGCTGCTTTATTCCCTGAGGAATCCGACCTGGGCCGCGTTCCCAATTACCAACAACTGTCCACAAGTTGCAACCTCGACGTCCGAGGTAATCGCGTCACAACAGTTCAGACGGCTCGAAGGGTGGCCGCCTGTGTCAGACGTAGGCACTTGCGACGTCATGTCACGGGTAGCGACTCAGATGGGTACTTTGCCGATGGGGAGCGCGACCCTGGTGGAACGCTGCGTGTAGAGCCTGTCACTTTACACGCACCTTACCTTATCAGCTCGCGTCACATCTCTTAACACAGTTGTAACTCTGTGCCTCTCAGTTGCAAGAAGCACCCCCAGCATAAATAGCATGAAACTGTGAAGAAGCATGAAACTGTGGGATTAACAGCAGCACTGTGCTAAAAGTAACACCATGTGATGGATCTCAACTGCACCTCCAATAAACAAGGCATGCGAAGGGAGCACAAGCGCACGCTGGGCACGCTGCTCCCGGAACTTAAGAGAACATACGCATTAGGCTGATGCTTAAGCGAGAACAAAACGAGCTGAAACACTCCAGTCGCCCCACGCTGAGCAAGCTCCCCGCACCGCGGCGACGAGGCGGCGTCCGCACCAGACCTTGATCTGGCGCTGCTGGGGTCGGAAGCTCCACGTCATGCTGCTGGACGTGTCGGCGTTGAAGCGGATGGTGATCTCACGGTCCTTGACCTTCTTCATGGTGAGCACCTTCTCGGCGTCGTGGCCCTGCGTGGTGCCGCCGTAGGCGTACGCCTGCACGCGGAGGAGGAGCGGTGGGTTGATGAGGGTCACAGCGCACTGTGAGTCACGGAGTGGCACACAGCCGGTGTACACACCTGGGGCCGGGGATCCACGACATTGACGTACGGACGGGGTCATATGACGTCACAAGGGCATATGACGTCCCGCGACGTTACATGATGTTCTCGGTTACATGACGGTTACATGATGTTCTCATGCAATGAGTCGTGGAGAGCGGGAGGTTCAGGAGTTTGAAGGAGCGCTGAGTCGCCGGGGCGACGCGGGGCTGCCAAGCTCTCGCGTCTAGTGAGCAGGAGGGGAGCGTGACCTTAACATGCGATACAGCCACCGGAATGTTCAGGGGGCAGTGGGGGCGCGATGGGCCGGCGGGGAGGTTGGACTGTAGTGAGGTGCAGCCCCACAGCTGGTATGGGTGGCAACACGTGACACAGAGGGGAACGTAACAGTTGACACGGAATACAACCATCGAAAAACAGCCACGAACCTTAGACACTCGAGGAGTCTAATCTGTTACCTTACGCCGCACTTAAGATCCTTTAAGGACAGCAACAATCGACGTCAGCACTCACTACTTCACTCCTGACTTGACCAATCACAAGGGCTAAAGCACGCCCGTGACCTGACCCGACCCTGCTGACCTGGCAGAAGATGCGATAGAGCGGCACGGCGGCGTAGCTCAGACCGCCCACGAGCACCCCCATGGCAGTGACGTAGTAGAGCGTGGAGCGGAGTCTTCGGCGCTGATCGCCGCCGCCTTCCGTGCTGAGCTGACGCAGCGTGACGTCACGAGCCATCAGCTGGCGGCAGGCGGAGCAGAGCGGCGGCCGGAGCGAGGCGGCCAGGGGGCGCCAGAGGCGCGGCAGGCTGGCCGCGATCATCGCCTGATGGCGGGGCAGAGGTCAGGCGGGAGGGCCACAGGCGGGGCGGACTAGCCGCGATCATCGCCTGGGGACGGGGCAGAGGTCAGGCGGGGCGGGCTGGTCGCGATCATCGCCTGGGGCGGGGCAGAGGTCAGGCAGGAGCGCCACAAGCGGGGCGGACTGGTCGCAATCATCACCTGGGCGCGGGGCAGAGGTCAGGCGGGAGCGTCACAGGCAGGGCAGGCTCCACTGGCCTCTCCCCACCGTCTGTGGGCGGGGCAGATGTCCGGTAAAAAGGCCGCGCAGGGCGTTCAGCCTAGTAACCGACCGAGGACAACACGGAGGGCCTACCGGAAGAGAAGTTAATTGAGAACGCCGGCAGCGACAGCATGGGAATACGAGCGTATAAAGGACACGTAAGAACGAAGAATGTCAGCGCGGGAAAGCACGACGAAGAGGGAAATCTCTGAAATGGGTAGTTCAGACCATTGATACGCCTAGTCAGTCATACGAGGGCCGAGGGTGGGTCGCCGAATCACGCGTTACTGGGAGTTATTCGTTTGGGTTTGAAGACGCCGTAATGCGCTGCGCTCGAACCTGGTTATGGCGAACCTGGCTATGAAATGTCAGTAGTAGCTTCGTCCCAGCACTGCGTTTATCGAGACACCATTCCACCTCAGCATTGTCCATTTCTTAAGTATTCGGACACCATTCCAACACACGCGTAGGAACGTGCGAGCACAGGAAACATTTCTGAGGTTCAGTGCATCCCGGACGGGACTCATAGACGCCAAACGGCGTCCGACCCCCCCCCCCCCCCCTTCTCGTTCCTCGTCCCCCTCCAGCAGCATGTCGCGGAGGTCCTCCAGGGTGATTTTGAGCGGAGAGCATTGATCCCAACGCGGCCCAGCTGACGCCCAACAATGAACGGCAGGAAGCGTCATGCCAAGTCGGGTTTATTGGTCACTGCAATCTCCGTATACAACGCACATCGGTTTGCACTAGACATCGTCCGTGTATCGCACGCGCCGGCGTTCCATTGGCTTCCTGCTTCAGTGGCACCAAGCAAAAGGAAGACTAACAAAAAAGCCAATCGTCTGACTCCTCATAGCATACGCCTCTCACTTCATCAACGCAGCAACAGTCTCCAAAACTTCAGGCCCCGAACTCGAGTTCACGGTAGCACTGGCTTCCTCGCAGCCACACTCAAGCCACAGCTGCATGAGTCACTACATGCCGTCTCGCAGCTACGACGCACCGCCCCGCGGCTACGATTTGCCCGAGTCCAGCAGATCCTTCGCCTCGTTGATCTTGGCGGCCAGATAGGGCGAGCCCCCGCGGTCCGGGTGGTTCAGCAGCATGATGCGCTTGTGCGCCTCCTTGACGCGCTTGGCGCTTGCGCTGGGCGAGACGCCCAGCACGAGACTCGCCTCGCGCCTCGACATCTTCGACTCGAAGCCGCCGCGGTAGTAGCGGCTGTTGGCGTCCATCTGCGGCAGGTTCTTGATCGCCTCGTTGAACTGCTTGGTCATGCCAGGCATGGCGCGCAGCACGTAGCGGGCTCCGAAGCCGATGGTAGCCAGGCCCAGACCGTACACGATCATGGTGGAGGCCATGCTGGACGGCGGCGGCGGTGCGGAAGAGGACGCTGGCCGCGCCGGGCGCTCGCTCGCCGAGGAATCGGCCAGCTCCTCGCCAGTGGAAGACGGTCACTGAACTGAGCACGGGCCCCGCCTGGAAACAGGGTTGGAATCGTTGTGATCCAAGCTAGCCTGATGGGCACCTTGAGCAGCTTTAATGCGAATGTTTAGGTGACAATCGTTAGAATCGGCAAAACCAGACGTTGTGGCCTGGAGAAGTTCAAATTGGGAGGCTTACGTGAATCACAATTGATTCCAACCCCGATCTCCACATACACACACGGCCTTCCAACAGTTGAAGAATTGTGCACGAAACTTATGAAAACCATGCCAAGAAAGAATAACACAATGTTCAAGAGAACGCTGCTGCCACTTTATTGCATACCTGGCGACAGTGAATGTTCCGAGGCTTATCGAATTAAGATCCTATCCAAAGGCGTCGCCACATGAAGGGGAGGCATGGAGTATCTTAACACCAGCCTCTAAAACATGACCACCTGGCTCAAAGCACCATTCGAGTTCAGATCCTGAGTGTTCTGGCAAGGACGGAGCATCCACTATCAATATTAAAGAAGGCCGGAGCGTGGGAATGACAGTCTAGGTGAGATCCAGAGTGTTCTGGCAAGGACGGTGTATACACCATCGATATGAAAGAACAGCGGAGCGTGGGACGAATTTTGGATAGATGGGTCGACGAATGGCGAATGTAGGTAAGAGAATTCCTGGCATCGAGGCACGTCGGCGTCATCCAGCGTTACACACTCACGCTGGCAAGTGGTACCCATGGACATAGCACAGGCTTAAACTCCATCGAGTTTTCCCATCAGTGCAGGGAACACTCCTGCATGGAGTTCTTGGAGTAAGGTGGAATAATGTGCCATTCAAATGTGCTTGCAATGTTCACCTATTTTTAAACATACCAAAGAACCTGGATTGTAGGAGAAAGGTCACTTGGGACACTTCATCCTGACACCAGGACACTAGGTCAAACAGACACTTAGACCTACTCACACTGCCCATCATCAGATATGCTGGAAGCATGAACAATGTATGAACAAAAGGAAAAGCTGCCACAAAATTTATATATGCATGGAAAATAGCATTATCAATTATAAGCAAGCTATAGTTACCACTTGCCACTGGATGTTAAACATGAATGATGATGATCTCTAGCATTGCCAATCATAGCAAATATTACTGAATGCATCTATTTGTTTGGGGCCACCACCATCTGGCCCCTGAAGAATTGACAGCAATGTGAAAGGTGTTTTTAAGATGGGATGTCCGGTACATTCACCCTACAGCTATGCTCAATCCAATAATGACTAACAAGGATATGAAGTAGTGAACAACTGTCATTAATAAAAACTGAAACAGATATACAAACATAAATCAAAGTAACATTTTTGTGTGTGTCATGCAATACATTTGTACATCTGCTATAGTATGCTAAAATGGTGTTTCAATGAGTTTGTTTTTTGTTGTGCTCCCAACACAAAATCTGGCATATGCTTGAGCACTGCAGCTGGCATCAAAAAGTGAAGATGCTGTGCTAGCGCTTGGAGACAACAAAAACCAACACCGCTGTCTGGTTTTCCTTTGGTGCAAATGCATACTCTCATGTAGCTCATGGGGTGAGTGGGAATTAGTCAGATCCTCACAAAAAAGAGCCTGAATATTTCCCAGGTAAGCATAGATGATGAAAGTATACAATTTTACACCCAGTTGAGCAATGCCAGTTGATACAAGCATTGAGAACTTTTCAGGCTTCTGAAAATGAAATGAATTATTGAAGATGACTTAAGTGACCATTTTATCTTTAGAATAGTCTCAGGTACCTACCTTGTAGCTTACAAACAATTGTGAGCCATAAGCAGCTGACACCCAAACATACTTTTAATGTTGGAAGCAGTGGCAGCACCACAGCTGGTGTCATATCACAGCCCCTGCACTCATGTTTTTACATGGTGGCAAGTGAGAAATTGTCTTGTTCTTGGGATGTGGAGTACAAATCTGGTAGTATCAAACAAAACTTAGTGGCTAATACCATTTGAGGAACTAACAGTGTGGGGAATGTTGACTAAGATGATGATATAGCATTCTCAGTGATGCATGATGCAACAAAACTAGTTCATTGCAAACAAACATGCTTCATTTTAAAAGCTGTAATAAAAATAGGACTGTTTTAGAATGGAAAATCCCAAGATTATGTAATGTACCATACTAAATTTTTTGTAATTATAATGACTATATTGTATTATATATGATAATGAGGTCACCTTTCTTATATAAGGCTGCATGCAGGAAAGCCATGATATTACCAGAGCTATGCACATTTAAGTTCTATTGACCAAAGGTCTACAGTAACACAATTAAGGGTATCATTTTAGTCTGAAAGTAAGATTTCTTAACATGCACAAGACATAAACATGATTTTTCTTACATGTGTCAGTACCACTTCAAGGAAATGTTAGAGGCCTGAAATTTTGGCAAGTCAACTTGTCAGACCTTTAAATATTCAGGAACACAAATATGCATGACAGGCCATAGTTCCACTCTAATTATATATCTAGGCACAAAAAATATAATAAAAAGCATGTGTGCAATAAGGCCAAACTGCAAAAAATACATGCTTCCCTGATAATGGTCACAGCAGCCACATCAAAATGATGGCCAAACTTAACAAGCACATACACTATCCAATGATCAAATTTGGGATATGGCACCACCCATCTTGTTGCACAGAGGGTCAGTACCTCAAGTAATTGTGATGCTAAAGGGGAAATTTTATCTCCCAAAAAATTATCTGGAAAATTAAAAATCTCAATAAAAGTGTTGAGGCCTGAGTTTAGTGCATGCTTTCACCAAGATCAGCTCAATAATACTGAGCATGCATCCAGCAGAGTACATGATTTTTTGCAGGCCAGCAGCAGGTTACAAATCCTGACCCACTTCATATTTTTGTGAAGTATGGTTCAAAACTACAAGCACATGGTTTTGAACTGCAGGCACACAAGCAAAAATTCCCTATCATTGCCATGCTGAACACCAAGGGTAGCAATGCTGAAGACAGTAATGGTTAATGCTTCAATATTAGGAAGTCAAAATTCTTAAACTTCATCAGTGACTTGCAAATGGTGACACCACAAAAGTATGACCCATATATAGGTGCAGTGCCACAAACAAGGCCAAAATTACCCTAAAGTGAGCTGTGGATCACGGGAAAATGAGATGCGTGGCCTGATCTTTAGTGACTCGAATTGAGCTGACGGCACACACATTTCGCTCCTCCCCAACCCCTCAATGATGGTGAAAAACTGCCTTTATCATACTATTACAGCACACAAGCACATGCAGTAGTACAGGAACTTACGCAGCCCACACGAACGGAGAATACAGCGCGAAATTACCACGAAACACTGGCACGTATCATTCGCCAGCACGCTTCTCCTCATGTGTAGCGATGTGCATTACGCAACGATCACGATTCGGAATTATTGCGCCATTATTGTAGCGCAAATATATAGCATGAAATTTGACTTTAAAAATATTTTGCCATTTTTCTTCTCATGCTTAGTGCAAAATTAAATCAAACATGTGCCGACAAGCTAAGACATTCTAAGGGATACGCTCAATTATAACGGAAGTGCTGTTCATCGGGACGTTAACAATTTTGCTATAAAAAACTACGTTCGTCAAGTTGGCATCACATTCACATTCAGCATTCGCATTCGCAGCACGTTCACATTCGGATATAAGACTGAGTCAAGCATGTTAAAGTGCAATACGTGCTGCATTCGTGACCTTGACATTGGAACAGCTACAATTTTTTTTGTTACAGCGTACCGGTCCGAGACTCTGTACTTCCCGTTATCAGGTCAATAATTCTCAAATTTTCACATTGTGAATCATTCATTCATTTCATTCATTCATTTTCATTCATTCATTCAAATCATGCATAAAAATTATCGTATCGTGATTGTTGAATACGATACACGACACGCACACGCATGTGCGTGTGCGTGTCTCGTGTTTTATTTTGCGTTTGCTACCGGACAAAATTAGCCGGTTTAGCATAGTATCGAACAAGTTTTCTTGCATTGATACCGGACAGCATTAGCCGGTCTAACGTAACGTAGCTTACCCCTGTCCTTTGCTTTGCACCAGATAGCACGAGCTGGCTTAACGTAGCTTTTTGCCTGGCCTTAAGTCAGAAGTAAGTTCCCCAGCCCCGGGTATGACTAGGTCGCCGGGGCAAAAAAAAAATGCCGGACGACCGTTACGATTTGAGTAATGGCGCGCACTGGGTAGATGGCACGCAAGTCTACCGGCGGCAAGGCGCCGCGCAAGCAGCTGGCCACTAAGGCAGCTCGCAGGAGCGCGCCGGCCACCGGCGGCGTCAAGAAGCCTCACCGCAACCGTCCGGGCACGTTGGTTCTTCGCGAGATCCGAAAAGACCAGAAAAGAGTCTCCGCGAGACCAGAAAAGCACGGAGCTGCTCATTCGCAAGCTGCCGTTCCAGCGCCTGGTGCGCGAGATTGCGCAGGACTTCAAGACGGACCTGCGCTTCCAGAGCAGCGCTGTCATGGCTCTGCTGGAGGCCAGCGAGGCGTACCTGGTCGGTCTGTTCGAGGACACGAACCTGTGCGCCATCCACGCCAAGCGGGTGACCATCATGCCCAAGAACATCCAGCTGGCGCGTCGCATTCGTGGCGAGCGTGCTTAAGCGCTGAAAGCGAAATCACCAACAGGTCATTATCAGGACCAGTGATGATGGCATAGAGTACGAGCTTGAATGTGACACGAACGGACGACAGAAGCATTGCCGTCACTGCCGCCTGTTGTTTCAAGTGTGAGAGCAGCATGCGCGCTCTGCCGGACGCTGTCAAGCTGAAGCCCTTTCCCATCCGGGCAGAAACAGGCCGAAGTCCACATCCGTCACGGGCACATAACGGCATGTCAATGACACATTTGGCATGGACGATTGCACGGCCCAATTATGCATGGCAGTCTGCGATCTGATAGTATAAGAGCGAGTCATGTGGCTCTGATAAGATTGCAATTGCATTGCATTGCATGGCCATTGCAGCGCCCTGACGGACCGAGGTGGCGGCGCGCCAGCCTGTTTCTTGGCCGGCGACTTGGCCTTTTTGGCCTTGGTGGGCTTGGCCTTCTTATCCTTGGCCGGCGACTTGGTGGCCCTCTTCTTGTTAGCCGGGTTTTTAGTGGCCTTTTTGGGAGTCTTCTTGGCCTTGGCCGGGCCGGCGGGCTTCTTTTTGGGCGACTTGGCCGGCCCCTTGGCGGGCTTGTTCTTGGCGGCGGCCGACAGCTTGAACGAACTGCTGGCACCCTTGCCCTTGGTCTGCACGGGCGCACCGCTGGCCACGCCGGACTTGAGAACGCGCTTGGTGAAAGTTGCCAGCCTCTCGGCGTCTACCTTGTAGTCAGCAGCGGTGTATTTTTAATGGCGACCAGCGACGACCGGCCGCGTTCTCTGAGTGTATTGTTGTTTGTTCTTCCTGCCACCTGTTATTTGATATCATGCCTGCATGTCGATATTCTTCCTCTGGACGTGCTCGCGCTCAGCCGGGTCCCGCCGCTTGCTGTCGATAGACCGGCCACGTCATAGTCGACTGAGTTAGCTTCCTGAGTGTTGTGCTCCCAACCGGATAAGATTGAGGAAAACTAGCAACACGTTTCAACGTTGCCTTATGTGATCTTTTATTAATTGAAAACGTCCACATTGAGCACAAAAAAGTTCAAAAATTCACAACGGCGAACCGCCGCATACACAGCGTCTTTGATTACAGTCGATTGTCTCCCAGCCAGCGTTCCCGAATGGCACGCACATGGGCTCAACGTGGGGCAAATAGCTTAAGGTGGGCATGGCTATAAGTGGACTTTGAACTGGGCTTCAGCCTTGTCTCACATGGTAGCGACCACATCATTTCATATTTCCGCATGTACCCCAAATAGTTGTGTGTTGCAGGGGCGGATCCATAGGGGGAGACCTCGAGGCCATTGCCCCCTTGGGTCTCGAAGGGGCCCATTAGCTCCGCGGGGCTCATCGCCGGCCGAACAGAGGCAGTTTTTAACACAAAACGCAACAAAACTGGACATCTCTGGACTTCCAGACGACCAAGAACAGTTCGTAAGTGTAAGTGAAGTGAATTTATAAGTAAGTGTAAGTGAAGAGCCTGTGAGAAGTCAAAAAGTTATTAAATGATTGGAAAAACTGTGAACTGGAAATTTTAAGACTCACTACACTGTCTGGACGCCCCATGCTGTTTCTGGGAGACGTATGTGCCCAATATATGCAAGATTATTTCGATAGTTGAGGAGCATGCCACGTTGCCCTTTATTTCTTTGCATTTGCTCGGGGGGCCCTGTGCTGTTGTTGGGGCTCTTCCTGCTAGCGTGCTTGGGCACTCTTGTCAATCACGGGCCATTCCACGTGTTCTTTCCATTCGCCAGGAAGGCTCTGTGGGCTATAGCCGGGGTCCCATACCTTAACCTGCCGGGGTATTCTCGGCTGCTCAAGGGGCCTTTTCCGTTAGTCTCAGTCAACCTACTGATACACTTGCGATATACTCATGGGCCCTTTTTCTCTATCACTTGCTTAGTTCCCTGCACTCTTGTCGGGGGTCCATCCGATGGCCTGCTTGGGCACACCAGTCGTTCGGGGATCCTTCACATTGGGTCTTGGGTACTTCTTTTCTTAATGGGGAGCCCTACCCTTTCGGGTGGGAGGGCCTATCTGATAATCTGCTCGGGCACATTCAATCGTTCGGGGGCCCTATGCATTAGGTCTAGACCACGTGCTGTTTGAACGCGGCCGTACGTAATTGTCGGGATCTGTTTGCCTCCTCGGCCACACTGGATTGCTCGGGGGGGGGGGGGGGGGGCCGGAACATTGGTTCTTGGTGTTTGAATTTAGGGCCGTCTGCTCCTATCGGGGTCATCTGATAACCTGTTCGACTACACTCCATCTTTCGGGGCCCCCCGCGCCGGGTTTTGGGCACTTCTTATTTGAATGGAAGGCGTTGCGCTCCTGTCGGGGTCCCTTCTGATAAGATGCTCGCGCCCATCCGATCGTGGGGACCAGACAGCCTCCCCGAACTCCGGGTCAAGACGAGTGGCCAGTAGTCTACGGCGGGCCGAAGTGTGGCAGGCCGGCCAAAAAGATGTCGCACTTGCGGAGGGCCCACAGACAGGTCAGACCTTCCAGGTCGACCACTGCACAGCGTGACTTGTCTGTGCGAAAACGGGAGCCACGCTGGGATAACTTCCACGTATCTCCGTGGCGCTGCTACAGGACGAAGCCCAGGCCGCGGGTTGGTGCAGATTCCGTCTGGAGCATGGTGGACAGCCGCGAGTCAAAGAACGCCAGCACGGGTGACGCCACCAGCGCGCCTTTAACGTCCCGAAACGCCTCCTCGTATTGCTAGGCCCATCTCCAGACAGTGCACTGCTTCAGCAGGTTTCGGAGAGGCTGGGCCGCGCTGGTGGTGTCTGCTGAGAAGCCCGCCAGCTGATTGCAGAGTCCCAAGAACTACCTCAAGTCAGTTAAGTTCTCTGGACGCGGGAACTCTGGGATCGCCTGCAGCTTGCCGTCGCCGATCGTGTAGCCTTGGTCAGAGATCCGACAACCGCTGTAGTCAAGCGACTGCCGAGCGAACTGGAACTTCCACAGGTTCATCATATCAGCATACTTCCTCTCTCCCGGCAGCGTCCGAGGGCGGCTCATGTTCTCTGATGACGGCGCCTGGGGCCGAAGACATGCTCCCATACAGGCAGGGAGCTGGGTGCTGGCACCGGGGACGGCGACTCAGAGGCCTCCGGGCCGCGTGGAGCTCCGCACCCCGCGGCTCCCGAGCGGCACCCAGCTGCCCGGTGATCCGGCTCGCGCTCTGCGCGCTGTAGGAAAAGCAGGTAGGCGGCGGTAGCTGCCCGTCCTGCAGGCTACAGCCGGCAGACGGCGCTGGCTGTCGGTCAGCAGGTGACGCTAGTGAGCCGCGGGCAGACTGCGAGCAGTTCTGGCGGTCGCTGCTCCGGTCCGCGCGTGCACGGTCTGTCGGAATGACACTGCGCGACGCTGGCTGGAATCTGGGCCGGAGAGTCTGCAGGTGGAATCCGTGGACGCACAGCGTCACACCAGCTTAGCGGAAACCCAGTGCCACCTGTCGTGGCATGGGTGCATGTATGGCATGGATATATTCGACAGTTGGTGAAACCGTTATAAAATACTTTCATGCGTGCGCTACCGGCGGGACAAAGCCCAAACAATGTTGTTGCGGAAGCACTATTAGACGCCAATATAAATTACTGATCGGACGACACGACGGTTTTGCGTTATGACGGTTCATTGCAAAACGTTGCTAGAGCCGGCCGGTAGCGTGTTAGCAGGAGTACGGTGACCCGTCAACGAAAAGATGCAGGCGGACGCAAATA